GAAGTGTCTTTATTCTTCATGTCACATTTTTCTTTTTCTTGTAAAAAAAATTTATATTCCCACAACAAGATCAAATCTAGTTTTTACATATTACCATGCATGCCCATTAACTTATTTAATAAAACATTACTAAATAAGAAAACAATATACGTAGTTAATATTTGTTTTGTTCTGTTTTTTGTGAATGCTGTTAAAAGCCTCATTCATAAGACAGCTCAGTCTGGGACTGATGCATATTATCTCCTTGGATCATCCAGAAAAAACACGAAGGTGGAAAGGTGAGTAGTGAGCCCACCTCATAAAATGCCCCTCTGAGCCCCCAGGCCAGGTAGTATCAGARCCAGGCCCAAGGCAGGCTGACTGACTTGTGAAAGAGCAACCCGYGGTTCTGCGCTCATAAAATGATAATGAGCTGATGACATCAGTGAGCGACCACAGGTTTGATCAACAAACAGATTTACTACAAAAATGAATATTAAAGACTGGCTTCTCCTGTCATTTTATGAATGACCCAAGGTCGCATAAAAGCCTGACTGGTGTGTGCAGCGATTTCGAGGWACTGTCTTGTGAAAGAGGCTAAGGTGACATTCTGTAATAAAAGACGCATCAGYTGTGCATGTGACATCCTGGTATTGCTGTAAACAACCTGGGCAGTGGGAGGTGAACAACACTGTCGGCTTTTGTTCTGAATACAATAGTAAGCACGCGGAAAAATCTTGAATATTAAAAGAAAACAGATGAAGTTTGTTTGATTTGGCACTGAATCGCCACAGATTTGGTTTCTTCTTTGGAGAACATTTCAGAAAAATGTAATATTTACTTTTAGGAGCTCATGTTTCACACTTAAGTGTCACTCAGTCAACAATGAGAAAAACCTGTGCAGATTCTACAAGCTGCAGCACAAGAGACGGAAATTCTGCAGAACCTGCAGAAATGTCACGTGAATGCTGAGTGCAAAACGTCTTGGCTAAAAATGCATTAAGTTGTGTTGTGACAGACGGACATGGGCTTCTTCACACCCAGACCAAAGGATGTTTTTTTTTATTCAAAAAGTGTGTAGAAAAGTATGTTGTTTTGGTGACCCCTGAAGCAAACGTGGAGATCSAAAGGTGAGGCTGATGAATTGATGGCTGATCAGGTTGGCCATCAACTGATGGGATGGGCGGGGGGGTCCATGGGCCTCCASTTACACCCAGACAACAAGATGTTTTGATGCAAAAGGTATTTTGAAAAAGATGCACCATTGCACTTACAGTTTCTCTATGTTCTCAGTTGAAGTTGAGTAAACAAAGTGTTTGAACAAAGCTCCTTGTGTCGTAATCATTATTCCTCCCCACAGTGTAGCATGTGAGTGAGGAAGACAGGAGGCTGATACTGTTTTCTCCATTTTACATTTGTTTTACTCTCAGGTTTACTGATCAATACTTTATTCACTCTTTTAATGAACTTATGAGTGAACTTGTATGATTACAGGGAACACTTTTACCACAACCAATGAATATTCACTCATTTAACAGAAAACCAAACTTGTCACTTAAAGTTTTTTTACAAATTAAGGAACAAAAAGGTCATAAAATATATTGATTAAAAAATTAAATCAAGAACATATAAAAATCTTAAAAACAATTTGGAGAATAACTGATGAAATGGATGAGGTATTGCTCAGATTCAGATGTTGGTAATCTAAAACAGTATAAAGATTAATCAAGAATTACTTACGTATATTTATCAAATTAAAAATAAATCTTTGGACAGAAACAAACTTTACATTTTTACATGTGTTAAATTTAATGAGGACCTGTGGGTCCTTGAACAAGTTAGGATACATCTGTGGGCTATACTTCACAAAATGAATCTCATTGTAATCTGTGGTGAGAGTAGAGAGCAGGTGGAAGAGAACCTGGAAAAGTGGAGGTTTGCATTGGAGAGAAGAGGAATGAAAGTCAGTAGAGACAAGCAGGTGGAAAGGTGAAAAAAAGGAGTAGAGGTCAGAAAGGTGGAAGACTTCAAATATCTGGAGTCAACCATCCAGAGCAATGGACAGTGCAGAAAAGAGGTGAAGAAAGAGGGTGCAGGCAGGATGGAGTGGGTGGAGACGAGTGTCGGGGCTGTTGTGTGACAGAAGGATAGCACCAAGAGTGAAAGGGAAAGTTTACAAGACCGCAGTGAGACCTGCCATGATGTACGGTTTAGAGACAGTGACACTGTCTAAAAGACAGGAGGCCGAGCTGTACGGTGTTACATTTGTGCCATCAGCTTGAGCACGCAGTAACACTGATTTGAGAGCAGAAATCAATATAAACAATCATTTGAACMGTGTGCACTCAAATCACACACATGCTCACACGGCTCCCTCCTCTCAAATTTACCTCTGCTSGCTCACAGCTCTGTYTCTGCACTCACAACCCAAGTTGTTTGTAAATGAAGCACATCACCAGCCAATCACAGACAGGGGCTTTTTCATCCAATCAAAGCACTTATTAGAAATCTACTAAACCAAAAGTCTGAAGTCACAAAATCTTTGATGTATTAAATCAGCAAAAGATAATATATTTCAATTTTGTAGCCCAACATTATTTAATTAGGCATAAAAATGTGGTCACTGTCATTGTGTATTTTAGAAAATATTTCTAAAATACATTAGGATTCATTACTTGGTTTCAAATTCTGCTAAGCACTCTTGATGCAACAGAATATTAGCAATGAAGAGGGACTAATAAATTAATTTGAATATCTACAAATAATGTCAAAAGCAACAA